CGTCGGGTTTTATGACACATAGCACAGATGTGCTGTCATCGTGAATCTTTGTTTCATTTGTTTGGAGACTGGTGTGCAGAAAGTAAGCAGTAAATAATGAAAAGTAAGATTTTTAAAATCCCCCTGCTGTCAGTTCTGCAGCAGCTAAAGAGTCCGGACTGTTTTCCTCCTGTTTGGGTTTGAAAAGCAGCCGGATGCTTCCTGCTCTGCTGGTTAAACTCAGACAGAAACCTGTCTGTGATCACACATCAACATCTGAGCCTCTGGTCCAAACTAAAGTCCAGAGACCTCATAGTTCTGCTGGTTTTCCTCAAGAATGAGGCTTCATTTCCTGGAAATCAGCTCTGTTCCAGCATCCAAAATGAAGGAAACTTTGTGCTGATGTGCTGAAACAGGGATGGAAGCAGCTCTGATGTGAGAGCATCACGCAGAGGCTTCACTTATCCATCCAAGGTCCCTGAATCCCACATTTCCCGTTTTGCCTGTTGTATCAAATCCGAGCTGTAAATGGATTCCTAGCCTTTAAAGTCGGGCCTGTCCAGGACCAGCAGACAGACCTGGAGGACTAAGAAGTGGAATAAAAGCTGGAAGCTGATACATTTCATCAAAAAAACACTTTTTAGTCAAAATATTCTCAAAGGAGTAAAAGAGAAACCAAACAACTGCACAGAGCCAGATGTCCATTCTCAACCAGTCAGACCATCCCCAGGAAGTTTGGAGCAGAGGGAGCTTCAGGATAAGAAGAAGATGAAGATCAAAAAGAAGATGAAGAAGATGAAGATCATCAAGAAGAAGGATTCCAGCTGGTCGTGTTTCACTTCTTAAACAAATTTTTATCTGAGTTGCTGCTTTCGACAAACTTCCAGGGAAAGAAAAAAGGGATTCTTTGTCCTCAGGCGGGTGAAAATGCTCCCAGTTTTGGACCTCTTAGGTGTCAGAGAAAGGAACGTCTGCCCTTTGAGTCCAAACATGGCGTCCCATAAAGCAGAAACCACTCCAACACAAGCTGAGCGTGACAACCTGACCCCCGTAAACCAGTTAACAGCTCGGATCCATCAGCTGCTGGCCTGGAGGAGTCCTGAAGCTGCCGGGGAATATTCCCGCGGCCTTCCCTCATCTCTGTAAACTGCATTGTTCCCGTGGGAAATCTCCCTGTAATCACCTCAAAGTGTCAGATCCTGACAGCCCAGCAGAGGCAGGAGGAGGCTCTGAGCAGCCGGGTGATTAACGCACAGCTCCAGCCTCTCCTCCTCAGCTCCGGCTCACCTGAACACCGGGAACACCCCAAAGAGCCGCTAGCTTAGGCTGGATACCGCCTCAAAACCTAGCTAAAAAACACACAAACTCCTCAATAACAACCCTAAAGCAGGGGTTCTTAACCTGTGTTATGTCGTAGCTGTAGGCTGCGTGCTTTTTTTCTTAATATTTTGATCCATACTGAATATGTCATGCAAAAAAATTTGTTGTGAGTGTTGGTTTTGTTCTCTGAGCAAGGAGATGTTCATGTACAGCTCATTTTGTGCACCAGTAAAAAAAACATGTAGCTATGTCTTGAATTTGGAAAAAATATATATATTTTATTTGTCACTAAAGAAGGTTCAGTGAATGTGCATCTGAAACTGGAGGGTTCGGTACCTCAGAAAAGTTTAGGAACCAGTGTTTTAAAGTCTTAAATTCGGTGGAGAGGTGTGTTCTGGAGCCTCAGAGGCCTTAATCTGCTCATTAGCTCCCTTTTAAAAGCGCACAGTGCCGCTTATTTCCTGCAGAGCTGCTGGTTTTACCAGCAGGGGAACTGACAGATGGGACATCCAGGACAGGTTTTTTCTTCCATCTGCGGGAATTTAAAGAGAGGAAATCCTGATCTGCCTGGGAATGAGCCTCTGGATGGAGGTGGTCGGAGACGGGAGCTGGCCCTGCTGCTCTGCCACTCACACGGCTTTAAAAATGGCACGTTTGTGTTTTAAAGAGTTCTCCATCTGCTCAGGATTTGAGCAGGTGGCTGATTTATCCTCCTGTTTTCTTTTTAAAGACTCAGTTTAGCTGCTGTGAAAAATAACCTTCATATGTTTGCTCATTTTTTTAAGATTTCATGATTTCATATTTAACATGGAACCTTTGTTCTTGTCTTGTTTTGTTCTTCTTTGGCTTCTTTGATTTTGTTTAACTCTTTTGGTTCCTGTGTTTGGTACCTGTCCTTTAGTTCTGTTGGTTCTTGTCTCTCAGTTCCTGTGTTTGGTTTGTATTTTTTGGTTCCCGTCTTTTAGTTCCTGTGTTTGGTTCCTGTCCTTTAGTTCATATCTGTTGGGGGGGGGTACCTCCCTTCTGTTACTGTTTGACCTCCGACCCCTGACAGAACAGCTGAGCCACCTTCAGAGTTCTGGGTGGAGCCACTTTCCTCCGGCTGCTTCCTGATTGGTTTGGAGGTAAATTCCCTGGCTGTGATTTCTTTGACTCCCTTATTGCTGACTCTGGCGCCCCCTCCCCCCCCCCCCCCCCCCCCCCCCCCGG